ATTTAATCAAAACATACATTGATTATATGATCTAATCATCTAATGGTAGGAAGCAATACACCTACTTATTACGAGTACCTTTTAATGATAATCACAACATACACTATCCTGATAATTTGGTCACTTTTTTAGAGTTAGATTAAGCCACAGATTAAGAATTTCCATACACCTTATAATCTTATAATACATGATTACCTGATGATATACTACTATACGTGATACTTTAAGATATTGGCAGGGTTTTTGGTTAAGAGAATAATAGAAAGACTATGCTCTAAAGTTCTTTAAAAATTAAAGAATGGTGGACTTTTTTTTTTTTTTTTTTTTTTTTTTTGAATAAATAGAATGGTGGACTTGTTAATACATCAATAAATACAAAGTATATTACGTTTACGTTAATATCGCTGCTGCATGCGTAACTGCCTAAGTTTAATGAAAGACCCCATAAAATATTGAGTCATTAAATACTTGTATGAAATATGTTGATCATATGAAACAAGTTACTTAATTGTAGCTTATGTCTCAACCATTGACATTTGAAACATTTTTTGTGGCTTAGCACATGACGTACAATAGGGAGCACATATTTAATATCCTACTCCCTCCTTACTCCTTAGAGCACTCCCGGCAGTGAGGAAAAAAGCCCTCACGAGTAAAAATAAAGGTGTAAAAAAAATACCCGAGCATTACGTTAGTGAGGGAAAAAACCCTCACCGTTGAGAGCTATGGAAAACGCACAAGAGTTGAGGGGAAATACTCGTGAACAGTAACCGGTGGGCCCCACATGTACACGCTGCTTTCCCTTTTTTTTCCTTTCTGGCTTGCAAAACGACGTCGTTTTGCCTTAAAGAAGGGCGAAACGACGCCGTTTTGAGGGGCAAAAAGGGAAAAAAAAAAAGGGGGCAGCTGGCCTGACGCGCGTCAGACCCAGCCAATGGGGATGCGACACGCGTCAGGCTTTGTCCTTCCAACCAATCAGATTTTTTTGCTTTTATTACAACGGTTATATTTTTGTAAGGTAAATATAACCGTTGTAATTATAAAAAAAAAAAAAAAAAAAAAAAAAAAAAAAAAAAAAAACAAAATTCACCAACGGATAGATTTTTTTTTTCTCTATAAATAGACATGCATTTTGATATATTTTGATATACTTTCAAAAAACCCATAAATACTACAAATTTCCTTCTTTTCCCAATTTCTTTGAGTTATTTTCATCATTTTTATTATTATTATTATTCGTAAAAAAAAAACCCTCAGTTATTATTATTATTATTATTATTATTATTATTATTTTTATTATTATTATAATAATTATTATTATTACTAGTAGTAGTAGTAGTAGTAGTGTTAATTTAAAAAAAGTAGTAGTTTTATTGGTATTCTTATAATTATTATTATTATTATTATTATTAATAATTTCTTTATTATTATTTCTGTTAAATTTATTAATCCTTGAAAAAAATCGTATTATTATATTGTCAAAAAAAGTAGTAGTATTATTATTGTTGTTGTTATTATTATTATTATTATTATTATTATTATTATTATTATCATTATTATTATTATTATTATTATTATTATTATGCTAATGGATCCTAACAACCCAGATTTTTCTAATTATTTTTCTGATTTGGGTGATGATTTTGTCACTAACCCTCGATTTCAAACCTTCCTTCAACGAATAGCTACTCAATATCCACCGCAACAAACACCTCCTCAATTTCCACCACAACAAACACCTCCTCAATTTCCACCACCACATTCACCTCCTGTTTATCAAGGGAGCAATTCTCAATATGAAGATGAAATGGAAGAAAGTGTTCCAGATACTCCACAATACCCTCCACCTCCTCCAAGAGTGTCTGTCAATCAAAACCAACCACTTACAAAAGGGAGTCGAATGTGGTCTGTTGCGGAGGATGAAACTCTTATTGGTTTGTATCTGCAATTCAGTGAAGATGCAATTGTTGGTACAAACCAAAAAGCATCTGTGCTTTGGAGAAAAATTTCAGCGGCATATGATGAAGCGCAGGCTGAGAAACCTCACATTCTACCACCAAGACCTTTGAGGAGTTTGGAAAGTCGTTGGAGAAGGATGGCAGCTGATTTAATACAATGGAGTAGCTGCTATGACGAAGCAGGAAGGGTTACAGGAAGTGGCTACCTCTGCTCAAACATCAATAACACTGCACAATCACATGCTAAAGTAATGCAGTGAATTGTCACCTCTGCTCAAACATCAATAACACTGCACAATCACATGCTAAAATAATGCATTGAATTGTCACCTCGAGTCACATGCAATTTCATTCCCACTTTAACTCACATGCAAACTTACCACTACCATCCAATAATGACTTTCACATTTTCTATATATACCTGTGTTATTATAAACGGAAACAATCCCAAACACACCAACTACCTAACCAAAATAAAAAAACTCTTTCATTTCTTCCACCTCAAGCTCCTCTTCTGATGATTTCTCCAAAAATCATGAATTTGATTGCTTAGTTGATGAGTATGTAGCAAATCACCCACCTCATAGATTACTTCCTCCAGACCAACCACAAGAACCTCCACTAAATAATGAAACTGAACTATCAACGGAGCCCAAAAGGGATAGGGAAAGAGAAAAAGGGCATGTGCAACTATACAACGATTATTTCGTGAATAATCCAGTGTATAACGACAACCAATTCCGACGTAGATTCCGTATGCAACGGTCATTGTTCTGCCGCATTATGAGCAAAGTGGTTGAGGGGGATCAATTCTTCCAGCAACGTCGAAATGCAGCTGGGAAGTTTGGTTTATCACCGTTGCAGAAATGCACCGCTGCAATAAGAATGTTAGCGTATGGCGTAGCCGCAGACGCTGTGGATGAATATTTACGTCTCGGCCAAACAACCTCTAGGCAGGCATTGCAACATTTCTGTCAAGGGGTTATTTCACAATTTGAAAGTGAATATCTACGAAAACCTACAGATGAAGATTTAAGGAGAATCCTTCATCAAAATGATCTGCGTGGTTTTCCAGGGATGATTGGTAGTATAGACTGCATGCATTGGGAGTGGAAGAATTGTCCTACTGCTTGGAAGGCACAATATGCTGGTCGTAGCAAGAGCGCAACTCTCATTCTTGAAGTTGTTGCTGATCAGGATCTATGGATTTGGCATGCGTTCTTTGGAATTCCTGGGTCATGTAACGATTTGAATGTCCTTTACCGTTCACCGGTATTTGATGATGTTTTACAAGGTCATGCACCACCCATAAATTTTACGGTTAATGGACATCAATATGAGTTGGGCTACTACTTGGCCGAAGGGATTTACCCGAGATGGCCAACTTTTATACAGGGTATAACACATCCTCATGTTAGAAAAGACAAGTTGTTTGCTGATCAACAAGCAGCAGTTCGGAAAGACGTCGAACGGGCTTTCGGAGTTTTACAAGCTAGGTTCGCTATACTACGACAACCAGCACTTGCATACGACGAAGATATTCTCTGTGATATTATGAAAGCCTGTATAATAATGCACAACATGATCGTCGAGGATGAACGACACAACTACGCACGTGCAGATGTTTTGAGACGATACTACGAAGAAGATCGACCACAACGTACGGTGAGGCGGGCAGACCCGAGCACAAGTGCCACGGTGTTTAACAACGAGCCATTTGAATTCAACGTCGGGCGACCACCCAACATTGATTTCAACACGTATTTGGAGAGAAGGATTTCCCTTCGTGATAGAGAAATTCATTCATCTCTGAAACAAGATTTAGTGGAGCACATATGGCAGAACTTTCGTCATAATGCGGTTGAATAAATAATTTTTTAGTTTGTTATTTGTAACCGTATCGTTATTTATGTTTTAATACTCGTGTTTGTATTTCATTTTAGTAGAACCACTTTTATCTAGTTCGTAATTGTACCGTTATTTAACATCCCATGTGTTTGTATTACCGTTATTGAAGTTCCCATGTGACTATTTAATGTGTTCATTACAAAAATGTGCTACTAATTCAAATGTTAAATTATAAATAAAACGTAATTGAAAAATAAAAAAAATATTATTAATTATAATTAAAACGTAATTGACAAATAAATAACAATCTTATTAAGTTATAATTGAAACGTAATTGAAAAATAAATATAAAAATTATAAATTTTTATTATATTATTTTTAAACGTAATTGAAAAGTAAATATAAAACTTATAAATTGTTATTAAATTATACATTTTTATTAAATTATTTTTAAACGTAATTAAAAAATAAATTATTTTCACATATTTTAATTGTATTGGAAAATTAAATATGTAGTATAAACATTATTTCAAAATAAAGATAAAATAAAAAGATGATGTGTATTATGGTGGGGTATAGTAAATAGTGGAGGAAAAAGTGATGAGAGGTTTTTTTTTTCTCCTCATTGATGTAGTGAAAAAAACATTTGATGAGAGAAATTGTATGGGAGGAGTGAGAAAGTGGGTAGAGAGAGATTGAGAGGTTTTTTTTTTCCTCACTGCTGATAGTGGTCTTAGAGCATCCCCACTAGTGAGCAAAAAAAATTCTCCTCATTCTCTCTCTACCCACTTTCTCTCTCTTCCCAACTAAATTTGCTCATGAGCATTTTTAGTGAGCAAAATCTATCCCACTAGTGAGCAAAAAAAAATGTTCATCAATCTCTCTCCTACTTTTTCACATACCCCACCAATATCTCTCTCTCTTACACATCACCCTATTAATATTTATTATGTTTTGGTTAAATGAATATTTATGGGTACTAATTACAATTATACTTTTATTTAATTTAATACAATTATTAAATATTCATTCATAATATTGAAATTTAATCGCAAATTAATTATAAATTTAATACAACATAAAATTTAATTAGCGTACGAATACATTTAATACTACAAACCAATAACAAACCTAGATTTTAAACGTACGATTGATACTCTATTAAATTGTCATCTTACGACAAATTTATTTTTTTTACTCATTAATAGAACCATATTTTTGCCAAATGTGTTCCACTAAATCCGCTTTTAATTGAACATGAGTGTCTCTATCACGTAGTGACATTCTTCTGTGGACGTACGTGTCGAAATCAATGTTTGGCGGTCGGCCAACATTGAATTCAAAAGGCTCGTTGTTGTTAACTGTAGCACTTGTAGTGGGTCTTGTAATTTGCGGGCAATCTTGTTCATAGTACCTTCTTAAAACTTCGGCCCGAGCATAGTTGTGTCGTTCATCTTCGACAATCATGTTGTGCATAATGATACAAGCTTTCATTATGTCACACAATATGTCTTCGTTAAACGCAAGGGAGGGTTGTCGTAGAATGGCAAACCGAGCCTGTAAAACCCCAAAAGCCCGTTCAACGTCCTTCCGAGCTGCAGCTTGTTTATCAGCAAATAATTTATCCTTTTGAAGTTGTGGAAGTGTTATACCTTGAATAAAAGTAGCCCATTTTGGGTAAATGCCATCTGCTAAGTAATAGCCCAAGTTGTACTCATGGTCGTTCACGGTGAAATGAATTGGAGGTGCCCGACCATGAAGAACATCATCAAAGACCGGAGATCGGTAAAGGACATTAAGATCATTACAAGATCCTGGGATCCCAAAGAATGCATGCCAAATCCATAAATCTTGATCTGCAACGGTCTCCAGAATGAGGGTTGCATTTTTATTACGGCCTGCGTATTGCGCTTTCCAAGCCATAGGACAATTCTTCCACTCCCAATGCATGCAGTCAATGCTACCTATCATACCGGGAAAACCTCGCATTTCATTTTGATGCAAGATTCTCCTTAAATCTTCGTTGGTGGGACTTCTGAGATATTCAGCTTCAAAATGAGTATTAACCCCTTGACAAAAATGTTGCAAAGCCAATCTGGAGGTAGTTTCGCCAATGCGCAGATACTCATCCACCGCATCTGGACAGGTACCGTACGCCAACATTCTAATCGCAGCGGTGCATTTCTGCAATGGTGATAACCCAAGCTTTCCAACTGCATTCCTACGCTGCTGGAAGAATTGATCCCCCTCGACCACCTTGTTCATAATCCTACAAAACAAAGGTCGTTGCATTCGAAATCTACGCCAGAATTGTTTGTCGCTATAAACTGGATTACTTGCAAAGTAATCATTAAATAATTGAACATGCCCCTTTTCCCTATCTCTTCTATCCGTATCCCCTCTACGCTCTGGAACACATTCAACATTGGATACTGGTTGGGGTTGTGTTTGGTTGTTATACAACAAAGTTGGTAGATGGGTTGTGACAAATTCGTCAACTAAATGATCAAATTCAACGTATTGATCAGAATCAGACGAGCTGGAGGTTGAGCTAATGGAAAACATTGCGTTTGCTGGTTCCTTGGGTGTTTGGATATTTTTGAGGAGTTGGATTATATTTGCGTAAGATGATATCACTATCATTTATAAGCATGAAAACTCAATGACAAGTCCAAAATATGAATGACAATTCCATGACTGATGAAACATGATTGACAATTCAATGAGTGATGAAACATGATTGACAATTCAATGACGCTTAAGATAGTAAGCTCGAAAGGTAAGTATTTTAAAAGGAAAATTTGCCAATTACTACCGCAAGTTAATACTACTTTGTAAATTACTACCGCAAATTAAAAAAGTTGTGAATTACTACCGTAAAAAATTTTAAGATGTTGCGATTACTACCAAACTCTCATTAAACCCAACTACGGCGTCATTATATTGGGGTACATGTGTACAATATGTACTTTATTGTACATCACCAGTTTGGGGTAATTTTTAACTACTTTTTAAAAAATATAAACCTACTTTAGGACTTTAGGTAACCATAGCTTGATACTTTCTCCATTCCTTTTTCTTCTTTCCATCTAAAATCATTTATGAGACAAAAAAGTTTAAAATAGGATATATAAATTTATTTTATTTTTTTTAAAAAAAATAAGAGGATTGGACGAAGAGTAATTTTTTATTGTAAATTAAGAGGTGATTTTTAAGGAAAAATTAAGTATTTATAGAGTAACCCCTCCAAAAAAAAAAAAAAAAGTATTCAAAGAGTAGTATGGTTATATCTTGAAGTGATATTGTTAGGTAACTTTTCTTTTCTTTTCTTTTTTTTAATTAACATATTTTATTTATAAAAATTTGTAATTTTTATATCCATACAACTTATATTCTAGGATAAATTTACATTCCATGAAAAATATACCCATCTAATTTTATAGTTTGTCCCTAGTATTTCATCGAAACAACTCACATCATTCAACTTACACAACCCATGTGATGTTGGTTAATTTGCTAACAATCTCAAATTCTCAATCTCAATATTTCTTCCTTGCTCGTATGAAGTGGGGTTTGTCATTCACTATCTTTCTCACTCAAATTATTGTTACTTCGACTTTTCAACTACAGAGCAATATTTCTTACGAACTTAAAAAGCCTATATTATTCTTAATCTATTTTTAAACATGTGTGTTCAAACGTAAAAAAAAACAATAATTTAAATTAATAATACGGTGAATATTAATTACGTTAATAGAAAATTGACACAAAATAAGATTCATAAATATCGATTCAGATATTGGCCTATTAGGTAAGCGTAGAGTTGTCCTAAATGAGCAAGTGTACAAAAGAAGACGTGCTCAAAGATAAAATGGTCAAAAAGGTAGGATAGCTTTTTCCTAATAAGCTGATTAATTAGTCACAAAAACACTAACTAAAGGTAGTAATTAGCTTGGAAGTTTAAAGAAGTACAATTCTATCAATTAAGCTATCTAAATAAAATTGTCAGATTTCCATCATAACTTGCAACTAATCTATTACATCAAACCACTATTTTTATATTTTTGGGGGCTAACTTTAACTTCCACTTTCTTATAATAATAATTAAAATAAAGATTAAAATTAAAATTAAAATATGACAGCATTAAGATAAATATTATCCCATTATGACACTTTAGGCCTTAATGTAATGTCCCCCACATTACCGTGTTTGTGATAGAGAGATCCAAGTATTTGAGCAAAGACAACAAAAACAAAAAATTTTAATATAAAAATAATAATAATAGTAAATTAAAACTTAGGATGGAGTTGACCAATTTCGAACTTAACACGTGAACTACTAAGATCTCATCAATTAAAGTCACTATTGGAAACTTGGTCACATTTCCCATTTGGATAGATGCAATTTGGGTTACTCTTTTCCTCCTCTTCCCTTCCATACCCTAATCAGATATTTAGAGTTGATCGAAAGTGACATTGCATATGATGTTTCTTCTCTTTAAGTTATTATAGGTATAGTGTTTATCCACCTTAAATTTGGTTCAACCTAATTAGATGTAACATATGCTTAAAATGGATTGAAATTTTTAGGCGTAAACTAACCTATGTTTAGTATAAAAATAACTTCTCTTAACAAGAAAATAATATTATTTTATTTTATAATAATAAGATATAGTCATTCAAACATTTTTGACTTATTAGTACCATAAAATAGTTGTTTAGTAGGTAGTCTTACTAGGCTATCGTATTCACAATGAACAAGTTTATTGATAGAATGATAGCAATTTTTGTAGAACAAGTTGATAATGTAAGATTGTTGAGCTTTATTTGGGACTGTACTATTTCCATTGATCATGGGTTAATTACAACAAGAGTCTGGATTATATTACTGGTATGTAACAAACATATAATAGTAAATTTATTTAAAAGACGGTAAAAATACTCATTTATAAAACACATCAAAAACTAAAAAGAGATTAGTTTACGTATATTCTCTACTAAATAGCTATGTTTAACAGTCTAACTAGTGCATGTGATTGTGCGACTGTCAAAGGCTATAGATGCGGAGGTGGTACAAACTTTGGAGACAAAAAAAATGGAAACAATGCCCATTTGGCCATTTCTCATATGAAGTAAGATATTAGTGAAGGTGAAAAAGAAACAACAATCAATCTCATAAAAGCCCTAACTATGTGTAGCATACTAGCATTTTAGTACATTAGTACGGAGTAGGGAGTAGTTATGTGCGTATGACATAGATTTCTCACCAACTGGCGAGATACAAGAGCGTTGTGAATTTGTCGATGAAAGTAGCTCAAATTCATCTCTTAGAATTGATCATGCTGATGTAGAGAATAAATAGGCAAGGAGATTAAATGCTACCATTTTTTTATTGCTTCGTACTTTTAATTTATCGGTAAATTTCATTTTCAATGAAAAACATAAACGTGTCAAAAAATTGCTTGTGGATAATACACAAGACAACCATTACAAGACACCCATTTATTAATTTGTGATTGTCAATATCAGTTTATTATGAATTGTATAGTACGAACTACGAACTACAAAGTAAATAATAGGGCATCCATTAATTGATTGGTGTGAGATCTTATGACTGATTTACACCCCTATCTTTATGGCTATCTGAACACCAAAAAAAAAAAAAAAAAAAAAAAAAAAATTGAGTGATTGTTAATGTCAATGTATTACAGAGTATTAAACATTTTCATGTCACATTTTAAAGTATCTCTCTAAAATATATGCAATCATCATATTAACTTGTAGTTATGGCCAATATGTGGATAAAAGATGGAAAGACGACTTACCATTATAAACTTGGCTACTAAACCAAGTCCATGCCAAAGAACATTTCAAGTACTCACTACATACAAACTCATACGGATCCAGGCCATCTTATAGAAAATTCTAAATCTTTAATTTGTACTTATTAATTATCGTACGACAAAATTTTTGAAAAGTATATATGATGTACAAAGACTTTCAAGTGCAACATATCACAATCGATCATCTTCCAAGTTATTAATGCTAATGCCCATTTTAATCCTTTCTTATGAGTATGTATATCCAATATTATTTTTTAATATACAAACATTTACCAAGTATTATTTAAATATTAAAAACATTATATTCACTACAAGTTAAAACCAAAAAATGAAATATGAAAAATATAATATCAAAAAAAAAAAACCTTTTATAATTGTGTTGTCACAGCTTTTAATATTGGGCAAGAAGATGAACATGGCTGGCACTATCACATGGACCATTACATTATACTATAATAATGCACGTTTTATTCATGCACATTCGCAATTTTCTGTTTTATTAATTAATATTACTCTTTAATTTAAGAGAAAAAACAATAAATTGTCTGCCCACTTTGGAGTTTGAAATAACATATAGCCGATATTTGGTATTTGGGTTTGGTTCTTTTCAGTTTTAATCCAACAAAGGGGATAAGATTCTTTTCCATTCTTGTTTTTACGCAAAAGAAAGTATCATCAACTTGCATAATTAGTTGATAATTAACGGTCTTATGCTCCTTAATTACATAACAAAAATAATGATTCGTATACCAAGTATTATATTAAAAAGCTACTTGGAACAAGATATGTACATTAAAATTAAGGTCTATAATGATTTTGCATGGTTGGGAAAATAAATAATTGCGTGTATATATTTGTGTGTTTAGAGAGCTAAGAGCGGGTGACGAGAATCGATCCCAAGATCTCTTAACACTACAAAAAAAAATGAGAATAGGCAACACTAAAGATTGCAACACTTACAGAAATGTTACTCTTAATAATCTAACGCAACAATACTTATTTGTTACCTTGAACTAAAGTAACAGAAAAAAAAGTGTTGCTCTAGACTATATAAGGCAACAGTCGCTTAAAGTGTTATCTTTTTCTTGTCTAAGACAAGAAAAGATAACAATAACAAAACTATTGTTTGAAAAATGTAACATTAATATCTATGTTGCCATCTATAGCAACATTTATATTAAAATGACAACATATATATATATACATATATATATGTATGTATATATGTATGTATGTATATATATGTATATATATATATATATATATATATATATATATATATATATATATATATATATATATACAAGTTTGGTAGAGTTGGTGGGGAACTCACCTTGTAACTCTAAGGTCATAAGTTCGAGCCCTACTAACTACTAAATGCTTGGGAGTGACAACATTTTTGAATTATCTTCTTAGATGGCAACATTTTTCATTTGTTGTCTTTGTTAAAGTGTTGACTTATGTATCATTTTACCTAAGTTTTCAAAATTGTTGCCTTTGAATAAAAATGTGTTGCCTTATGAATAGACAACGGGGGCATAAATTACGCCTCATATGTGTTGTCTTAGCTACAAGACAACACTTTTTTTATATTAGACAATGGTTTTGCATTGTTACCTTTGCTTTATTTTGTTATAGTGTAAAATCGGGAGGAATGCTCTAACTACTTGAGTTATATCTCCCTCTCAACATATAAAGTTTGTACTTTTGAGTGAACAAGATGTTGCCTTGACTCAGCTCCCCGAGTGTTGCACAAAATACCACTACTCTTCGTCAATTTCTGTGTGGTATTGCTGTATT